GTGTAGGTGAATGTGTGAAAATTTTTTGAGTTGTGCATATGCTCGTTTCATGAGTGGACGAACATGTGAAAGAGGATGTATTTTTTTTGTTTTTTTATTTGTTTTAATTTATTTAATAAAATATTTAATAATTTTAATATTAAAAATTATATTATAAAATATGTTAATAATTTTAATTATAGAATATTAATTAATAATATATTATAAAAATAAAAAATATTATACTATATTAATTTAGTAAATAAATACTAATTAAAATTATATTATAAGATTAAAATATTTTATGATGTTTTAATATAATAATTAAAGAAAAATTAAAAATATACCATAATAATAAATAAAAAATTGTTGTATTAAATTAATTACAACAACAAAATATATTAAACAAAAATACGTGTTACATATATATTTGATCAAAAATGGTCCTCGGTTCCACACCTAGTGGTCCTTCTCTGTCGATATCCTCTGCCCAAACACTCATTTGCATTTGTAGGTGATTGAGATGAGTCGGAACACATGTCTTCATTGTGATGTGCTGTAAAGGGGTCTGTCTGCCTTGAAGAGGGTTCTGGTTGCTCATCGAGAATATCATCAATGTTAAAATCTACATTTGCATCAGTTGCTCCTCTGTCAGCATAAAATTTTGGAATGATTCTGATGGTTGCGCTGGTTGTGGGTAGGTTTCGGGTTGGGTTTGTTGGAGGATTGGGTAGTAGACGTCATCAGGCGTGAAGGTGGAGACGGGTTGAGAGAATGAAGTGTTGAAGGTTTGATATTGGAAATGATGGTTTGTCTGATCAAAGTTGGGCGGTGGGACTGGAGTGAATTGTATGTGTGGTCGGAGGTAGGGTTGGGGTTGATATTGTTGGTTGTAGTTGTAGTGGTAGTTATACTTTTGTTGAGGGAATGGATTGTAGGGTGTTTGTTGTCGGTATGTATGCTGAGCTGACGAAGATGCGTGCCTCCCAAATTGAGATGTGTAGGTTGGTGGCACATCCTGATGCATTGATGCGGCAGTTGGTTATGTTGATGATGATCCTTGCATGCGTGGGTCGGTCAAAATTTGGTCTGGAGCAATATGCACATAACGAATGACACGAAACCAAGTTAAATACTCTTGGTTTGGCTTGCGTTCCCCAAACACAGCGTCCCCCTGCAAAATCACATGTCTTCTATGTTTCCATTCTCTCACCTCATCCTTGTTTAACTCTCGCAAATGAACTTTTTGGGCTTTTCTCATTGTCATTACGTGGTGTTCCCTTAGACACCTTGGCGGGGGAGGGATTTGTTGTTCAAATCCAAACTAGAGTTTTACCCTATCTGTTTGATGCATTTCAACGGTATAGAAACAAATAAGAAAAGTTGTAGCACTCTAGATTGGGCTATCTCTAAGATTGGGCACCGGATATTGAATGTACGACCTCCATATAAACTGTCACATAAAAAAGAAAATCCTAATACCATTAAGGAGTATAACCGACAATTATGTTCTATGGTTTCAAACTTACATCTTTTTCTTGCATATGGTCCAATGCGTTTCGATATCCTTGTAGATGAAAACGAGGATTAGCCTCGTAATTCATCCATCTTTGCGCCCATCTTGCATAAACAAAAAAATATAATATTGTTAGGCATAATTAAATAACAAATATATATATATATATATATATATATATATATATATATATATATATATATATATATATATATATATATATATGAGTTTTTTAATATAGAAATACCTTTGTGCGTATGGATACGAAGGTTGCACTACACTAACAGGAGCAAACAATGATATACGTGTAAATGCCCAAGAAGTCAGTAGAAGAACACAACCACTCATGCTCCTAACATCCTTTACTGGTGCCTTGCATATTTCCCTATACAATTTTGCAAGACATGCAAACTCCCAACTAAAGGTGCCACATATTTTAAGATCCCCTACGAAAGGAATCCAGGAAGAATGCAATAAATTTTGACTCTTATCGGGAAACAAAATAGTGGCGATTACAAGTAAAATATAAACTTTAGCCTGTAGCACAATTTCTTGTTGTATGGGGGCAGAGTTATTTTTTAAATTTTCATATAAATTTTCTAGCCGTGTAATCCTAACAGAACTTCTGTTTTTATCCGCTTCTGTAGGTTCCACCCCCAAGCTTTCCATGTAAACATCGTTTGTTACTTCGGTAGGACTGTTGATAGCTTTTCCATCAACTCGAAGACCAAGTAACATATTCACATCTTCAAGAGTTATTGTGCATTCACCTATTGGGAAGTGAAAATTGTGTGTTTCCGGTCTCCATTTCTCCAACAGAGCCACAACTAAGCTTGAGTCGATTTTGAGACTATTTATTTTTGATATCTGAGCAAAACCTGCTATTTCTATATACTCTATTATTCTCGCACTCGCTTGAATGGGAGCATGAGAATGCACTCTAAACCTTAGGGCATTAGCCTGCAACAATATTGAACCAACAAAATGTAATCACTATTTATGATATGAAATAATATTTAACCAAGCAACTATAGGCATTATTTTTGAATGCACTCGAATAGAGAAAAACTTACACTAGCTTGAATATTTTTTTGTGTTCCACGGTGTTCATTGCCCATCCACAACAATGCCATTTTGATTAAGTATTAGGAATTTGCAAGAAATGCAAGAGAGTAGTTCATGTTTTAATGCTTTGTGTTTAGAAATGCAAGAGAGTCGTTGGTGTTAAAATTGTGTGTAGAAATTTGGTTGTGTTAAATCTGAATTTATAGAAACTAGGTAGTGTTAATGTGACTGCATGAAGTGACAATTGCATGGCCTTGGTAATATATATTAGGTATTACACATTTGCATGCATGCAAAGCTAAATAGAATAAGTCTTACACCATGTCTTGTGCTTGCAAGACAATTTTTTCAGCAAGCATCAGACACTCGTCCATTGAGTGGACGAATTGACAAAGCACAAGAATGTGCTCGTCCAATGGGTGGACGAGCAAGGCCTACACGTGAGCATGCTCGCCCTTTGAGTGGGCGAGCTCAAAGGGCCATTTTTCTACATTTCATTTTATGTATGTCTTATATAATTGCATGTATCCTATTATTTGTATTATACCTCTAAATTTCACTAAGAAGAACATATATTTTACACTCCAAAATGTATCAGAGAAATATAATCCTCACGTGCCACTTCAATGGTGTTGTTTCAACAAGTAGCACCGTTGACTTCTCGTTCAGCAACACAGATACCCGCACCTTCAAAACTCATGTCAGTTCTGATTTTTTCCATTTTAAAGATAGAATGGAAAAAAAATTAGCACGATGCGTTGAGGAGATAATTTATCGTCATCTTATACTTAACGAAGACGACTGTACAATTTTTTACATAATGACGCCGATCAGGAACGACGAAGACATGGAGGTGATGTTTCGTTGCCACATGATCTTTGGTCAGTTACCTACAATTGAGTTGTATGTCCAACTACTACATAATCCCGAAACATTTCCGACGCAAGAGACACAGTCATGCTGATATGGGATGAGCCAAACATCCAATGACGAACCAACACAAAACAATCTACCTTTCATACCAAATGAAGTGGTTGGAGAAGCAAGCGATGACGATCTTCAGGAGGTCAGGATGCAAGATATTTTTGGTGACAGCGATGACGAAGATAATGAAGATATAGTTGTCGCGTCTACGCAGCCGATTCATGCACAACCCATAAGTTTATACAACCCACCTGCACATACGCATAATATATGTTTCAAACAAGATGAGACAACCTCCGTGTTTGGAATTGTCATTCCAAACCATATAGGTGAAGAAATATAGATTGGGATGGAGTTTGAAAACAAGGAAGCTTGCGTCCTCGCTCTACAACATTGGTACATAACACACAATATTGACTATTGGGTTTATCAATCTGACAATGAACGATATGTAATTAAGTGTAAGAAACAAGACTGCAGTTTCAAGTGCAGAGCTTCCTTGAGAAAAAGGAACTCAAAATGGGTGATCGGTAAGTTGTCTGGGTCTCACACATGCACTACGACGTCTATGGCACAAGACCATAGGACGCTTAGTTCAGAAATGATTAGCCATAGCATCAGAGAACTTGTCAACTAAGACGTCTCACTTAAGGTAAAGGTGATCATTGCCCATATTCTTGAAAAATACAGGTACATAATATCTTACAGGAAAGCATGGATCGCTAAGTGCAAGGCCATAGAGTCGCTATATGGCAATTAGGAAACATCTTACAACGACCTGCCACAGTGGATACTGGTAATGAAAACCTTCCTTCCAGGAACCATTGTAGATTTGCAAACCCTACCTGCAATTTCAAATGATGGTTCCCAAATCTCTGAAAAACGAATATTCCATTGTCTGTTTTGGGATTTCGTCCGTGTATACGTGGCTTTGCCTACTGTAAGCCCATTGTACAAGTAGACAGAACTTGGTTGTATGGAAAGTACAGAGGAACTCTATTGATGGCGGTGGCATAGGATGGTAACGCAAATATTTTCCCAATAGCATTCGCATTGGTCGAAGGTGAAACAAAGGAAGCATGAAGCTTTTTTCTAAGGAACCTGAGATTACACGTGACACCACAACCTAATTTGTACCTAATCTTTGATAGACATGAATCGATAAAGAGTGCATATAACAATCCCGAAAACGGATGGCAACATCAACCATCTTCATATGTCTACTGCATTAAACACATTGCTCAGAACTTCATGCGCGAGATTAAGGACAAGGATCTACGCAAAAAACTTGTTAACATGGGTAACAAAACACATTTCACTTATCTCAAGTTTTGTATCACACTTTTATTATGTTTTTCACACAATTTCTTTTACAGGTTACGCATTGACAAAGGCTACATTTAACTACTAACGCGGAGAAATCAGAAGAACAAACATTGAGGCTTCAAATTGGACAGACAACATCCCTAGGGAGAAGTGGGCTAGAGCATTTGACGGAGGGCAACGTTGGGGACATATGACATCTAACTTGGCAGAGGCCATAAACTCTGTACTAAAGGCAACCAGAAATCTTCCAATCATTGCTTTGGTCCTATCTACATACTATCGAATGGGTTCACTCTTTGGTAAACGGGGGCACAAATGGACCAAAATGCTATCTACAGGGAAAGTTTTTACAGATGGTTGTAACAAGGGAATGACTGATGAGGTAGCCAAGGCTAACACACACAATTTCATGCAATTTTATTGCGAAAGATTATGTTTCATGGTGCAGGAAAAAATTAATCAACACGATGGTCGTCCAACGGGTACTTTCAGCATTGACCTGAGGAATTGTTTGTGTGACTGTGGAAAATTTCAAGCATTTCACTTGACTTTCTCCCACGTGATCGTGACATGCTATAGCATACAACAAAACTACACAATTCACATTCCAGAGGTCTTCACAGTACTCAACGTATTCAAAGTCTACAAAGAAAGCTTCCTGGGACTACCGTACGAGGAGAACTGGTCAAAATATGAAGGTTTTACTCTATGTCACGACGATTCCATGAGAAGAAATAAAAAGGGACGTCCAACTAGTAGTAGAATTAGAACTTAGATGGATGACGCTGAAAAAGAAAAGAGAAGGTGTGGGATTTGCAGAGAAATAGGTCATATGCGTAGAAAATGTCCCAATGTTGTCGGCCCGTCAAACCGACCGCATAGATAATTTTATATATTTTGCTCGCACTAGTTTTGTGTGTGATCCAACATTTATTTTTAATTCAAGACAACTTTCAAATTACAACAATACTAGCAAATTACAACTATAAAGTTAAAAATAAAACTCAGGAAGCTAACATTCACACTAACCAACAACAACAACAACAACCAACACAAGTGGATCTGTGACTCCTCTGTTAACTTCGCCACTATGTGCTGAAAACATACAATTGACATCTTCATCATTTTCTATACGATCCAAGTAATACATGTACGTACCCTCCGGGCTAACATCAGTCAGTGTTATATACGGACAACGATACTCCATTTTTCTCACCGTCATGCGACAACCTTCCAACTGCCGAAACCCCGTGTTAATTGCTGCAACCACAGTTCTGAAATTCTACTGCGGATCTAGGTAAACACTGACTTTTTTTTTCTTGTCCATAGAAAACAAGAGATCGGACAGACATTTTTATAACACAGATCACTGGACACAAATGATATGTGCTGATGTGCAATACGTTTATTTATAAAAAAAGTTACGTTTGAGCTCGGTCATTCAATGACCGAGACTCTGTAATAACTTCACACCTCCATGTACGAACATCAGTCATTATTTTTTAATACATGACAGAAAAAAAAGTATATATCATTCACATTGTTTTTCCATTTAATATAACATAATATAATTAAATTAATTTAATATAACATAATATAATTAAATTAATTTAATATAACATAATATATAATTAAATTAATTTAATATAACATAATACATAATTAAATTAATTTAATATAACATAATATATAATTAAATTAAAAGTAATATAATTAAAATAAAAGTAATATAACTAAATATAATTAAAATATTAATATATTTTATAATGTAATTTTTAATATTAAAATTATAAAATATTTTAGTAAATAAATAAAACAAATAAGAAAACAAAAAAGTTGCACCCCTTTCACATGCTCGTCCACCCATTGGACGAGCACATGCACGGCTCAAAACTCCTTCAAACACTCGTCCACCCATTGGACGAGCATGTACTACATGTGGGGCACTTCTGTCATTCTTTTTTAAAGTAGGGTATATTGGTATTTTTTATTTCAAAATGGGACATTTGTGTAAAAGTCTTTAAACAAGGGGATGAGAAGAGTTTTAGCCTATAATTAATAAAAGAGAAATGTTATTCTTACACTAATATATACACTACACTGTATTTTACTGTTCATTCATACGGTGAATAGTAAAATATTATAATTATATATATATATATATATATATATATATATATATATATATATATATATATATATATATATATATATATATATATATATATATATATATATATATATATATATATATATATATATATATATATATATATATATATATATATATATATATATATATTTAAAATATAAAAATTAATTATTTTTTTATATCCGAGCGTTTACTAACCAAGTTTATAACTTCATTAACCAACATTTTACATTTTATTAACCAACTTTGTTTTATTATTAAAAATTATTTTTAATATCTGAACGTTTATTAATCAACTTCGTCACTTCATTAACCAATTTTTACATTTCATTAACCAACTTTATTTTACTATAAAAGATTATTATTCACGCACTGTTCACATGACACTATTCATGCACTGTTCACGACACTGTTTATGTATAGTTTTACTGTTCACGATACTGTTCACCGTATTTATAAATAGTATATACGACATAGGTGTAAGTGTAGTGTAAAAATAGCAATGCTGTTAATAAAACTAGCTGATATCCGATACAAGGGGATGAGAAGAGTTTTAGCCTATAATTAATAAAACTAGCTGATATCCGATACGGTAGCTGGTAATTAGTAGTTGATGATTAATAATTAGAGATGATAAAAAATTCGTATTCGTAAATATATGCGGATAAAATCCGTCACGGATATGAGACGGATAGTTTAATAGATATTCACGAATAAAATAAATGGATATTTAAATACCCGTTTGTTAATGAATATGGATACAGGTTTAATGATATCTATATCCGCAGATATCCATATCCGTTAATAAATTATAAAAATTATTTAAATATCATTAGTTTATTATACCGTATCTTTTGATCTTCTAAAAAAATTAATCTTCTTATATATATATTTTAATTTTCTTTGAAGAAAATTTTTAACATTTCATTCAAATTCTATTAGCTATTTAATATTTAAACTCTTCAATACTTCATACCCCACTTCAACAATTTCATAGTTCAACCAACTAGTGTCGTCATTCCTCTGTCGAACTAGTATTTCTCTTCCTACTCCACTGTCGTCTGCTCTTCCATCATAATTCACAATCACAATATCTTTTATTTGGGTGGTTAAAAATGAAATGTATGAATATTATGTTTGTTTCTAATTATGTTTTGGTGAATAAGAAGAAAACTAATGTGATGAAATTTTATTCTTAATTAAGAGTCAATTGTATGGATGTTATGTGATAGTATTTTGTGTGTCTTTAAAAGAAGTTAAAAATATTTTTATAAAAAAATATTATTCATGAATATTTGTAAATATCCGCGGATATTATAAAACCAGAGAATTATCCGCTTAACAGATACCTGCATGGATATGGGGCGGATATGAATATCATATTTATCTAACGAGACTGTTACAAATATCATAATAATTGTCCCCATGAATATCCATTTACATCCATACTAATAACTGATAGTTTATAACTGATAATTAGTAGTTTATAGTTGATAATTTTTAGCTGATAAGCTAATTAAGTGTTTGATAAATTAGCGGTTACACTAACTGATAAATACAAATGACATAAAAGGACATTTTTAATTAAAAAAATTAGTGATCGTATTTATTAAATTAATTTTTATTCAATAAAAATAAATGTATTAACAATCAAATGCAAAACATTTTAAATATAAATATAAAATTAAACATAACACAAAAATATATTAAATACTTATATATAAACTTTGTAATGAAATTTAAATATTTAAAATAATAATATTGTAATTTGATCTTATATTTTAATAAAATACATATTTCGTTCTTTTTTTTTCCTTCTCAAAATACATGATATGCCTACTAATAAACAAATATATTCAATCATTCATTATCATATTTATAAAAATAATACATTAATAATAAAAACTCAAGTAATAAATAATTAAAATAATAATTCAAAAGTAATAAAAATAATTCAATGTAATAAGTCAAAATATTCCATTAATAGCAAAATGGAAGATGAATTGCATCGTGAATTTGTTTGGTAGAAACAATAATAATTATTTTAATTTAAATCATAATAATATAAAAGGTAAAAATGAGTTTTTGATAAAATAGTGAGGGTACAAATAGAAGAAAAAGTCATAAGCTAAAAGCTATAAACTCAAAAACTATTTCAAATAGCTTTAAAAAAAGCTAAAAGCTAGTAAAAAAAAACGCTATAAGCTAAAAGTTAAAAGACAGCTAGCAAATAGAGTTTTTTCATTAATATGAGCTGAAAAACTATAAGCTATAAGCTAAAAACTTCTTTTGTGTTTTATCAAACAGACTCTTAGGCTCTGTTTGACAAGATATTTTTTGAGCTTATAGCTTATAAGCTCATATGACAATAAAAGACCTGTTTGGTAATAGTCTTTTCTTCACGAGCTTATAACTTATTTTATTAGTTTATAGCTTATTTTGCAGACACTACTTTAAATAGCGTTTTAGCTTATAGCTTATCATTTTTTCTTCCACTTTTACCCTTATTATTTTAACTAAAACACATCATTATCCTTTATAATTTATTATAACTTAAAATAAAATAATAATAATAATTAAATATCTTTTATGTCATTTTATTTTATCAGCAAATTAAACTGTTAATTTTACCAAACACTTTAATTAACTTATCAGCTATAAGTCATCAACCATCAGCTATAAGGTATAAGCTATCAGTCATAAGCTATAAGCTATCAACTAACTTATCAGTCAACCGTTATTTCTATCAAACATAGTCTTAGGCTCTGTTTTGTAAAACTAGCTGATAGCTGATGACTAATAGCTCATAGCTTATAACTAATTGCTGATAGTTTATAGCTGATGACTTTTAGCTGATAAGTTAATTTGAGTGTTTAGTAAATTAGCGGTTACATTAACTGCTAAATACAAAATGACATAAAAGGACATTCTTAATTAAAAAATTAGTGATCCTATTTATTAAATTAATTTTTATTCAATAAAAATAAACGTCTTAACAATCAAATGCAAAACATTTTAATATATATATATATATATATATATATATATATATATATATATATATATATATATATATATATATATATATATATATATTAAACATAACACAAAAATATAGTAAACACTTAATTTTGTAATGAAATTTAAATATATAAAATAATAATATTGTAATTTGTTCTTATATTCCAATAAAGTGCATACTTCCTTTTTTTTTTTTTTTAAATCCATGATATGTCTACTAATAAACAAATATATTAAATAATTTATTATCATATTTATAAAAACGATACATTAATAATAAAAACTCAAATAATAAATAATAATTTAAAAGTAATTAAAAAATTTAATATAATGAGTCATAATATTCCATTAATAACAAAATGGAAGATGAATTGTATCCTGAATTTGTTAGGTAAAAATAATGATAAACCTTTGTTATTCCCTCAATTAAAACACAATTATTTGAATTAAAATTATAATAATATAAAACGATAAAAATGAATTTTTGATAAAATAGTGAAAGTAGAAATGAAAAAAAAGAGTCATAAGTTAAAAGCTATAAATTTTAAAACTACTCAAATAGCTTAAAAAAAGAAGAAGCTAAAGACTAGTAAAAAAACTAT